TATTGTGTAACAGGAAGAAGAAGTCTAAAAGAGCAGGGGAATTGGGAGGGGTAGGGGAAGGGAAAAAAGGGAAAGGAAAAAATATGAGAAGAGGAAAAAAATGGAAACAAGGTCTTTGCAAATAGGGAAGAGTGGAGAGGATGAAGGGAGGGCAAGGGAAGGGGAAAAAAATAAGAACCAAGAGACTCATGTAATGGTACAAGATTCCAATGATGAATGTAACTGTATTTTATACCTAAAAGGTACCAATAAAGTTAATGGGGAAAAAAAAATAAAAAAAATAAATCTGCAGGTGGATAACCAGTTTTCCCAGCACCATTTGTTAAAGAGGCTATCTTTCCTCCAATGTATATTTTTGGTCCTTCTGTCAAAAATCAGACAGCTGAAGTGCATGAGGTTCTTTTGCTGTCTTCTGTTCTACCCCATTGTTTTACAAGGCTATTTTCCTGTCAGTACCATGCTGTTTTTATTACCATAGCTTTGTAATCTAACTTGAAATCCAGCATTGTGACTTCTCTACTTTGCTCTTTATGCTTAAGATTGCTTTGGCTATTCTGAGACTCTTCTGGTTCTATATGAATTTGAGATTTGTTGCTGATATTTTAATAGGAATAGCATTAAATCTACAGATCTCTTTTGGTAATATGGTTTTTTGGGTTTTTTTTGGTACTAGGGATCGAACTCGGGTCCTTCCACTTGCGAGGCAGGGAGCGGAACCACTGAGCTAAATCCCTGGCCTGGTAATATGGCTTTTTAAACAGTATTGATTCTATTGATCCAAGGACATGGGTTGCTTTTCCATTTTATGATGTTCTCTTCAATTTCTTTCTTCAGAGTTCTTTAGTTTTCATTATACAGGTTTTTCATCTTGTTGGTTAGGTTAATTTCTAGGCATTTAATTCTTTTTTTAAGCTACTGTGATTGGAATTGTTTTCCTGATTTCTTTCTTGGTAGGTTCGTTATTGGTGTACATGAATCTACCGATTTTTCGGTACTGGCTTTGTATCCTGAGTGATACTGTTTGGTTCAAGTCCCTGCCAAAGTAGTACCTAAGAGTCTAATAATATGTCTCTCAAACACTACTTGCTGTTATGGCTTAAATATAGATGTCCCCTCAAAGCCTCATTAATATTTGCCCAAACCAATTACGTTTTCTTTTTTGGTACTTGGGATCGAACTCGGGTCCTTATGCTTGTGCAGCAGGTGGCGATACCACTGAGCTAAATCCCCAGCCCAAAACCAATTATGTTTAAAAAGGGCATCTTTTCTATCAGAGAACTTAATAATAATGAGCTATTACCACATAAGTAAAATCAGTTCCAAATTTATTAGAACAAAGTAACTTTATGTCCCAAGAAAATGGCCTGTTCCAACACTGTTTTAAAACCAGTGTATAGAAACTCTAATAAACTTACTAGTTCATTTTTTTAATGCTCCTTACCAATCAATCATTCTCAGCAGGAAAGACACCTCATGATGAGAAAATGCATATGATTTGTGCAATTTTTCCTACAGATAGTAAGAGGTAATGCTTTATTATCAAGCATCAAATAAAATTTTTGATTTACTATTTTTTATTGATTTTTATAGTTCAGGGGACAAAAACATAGCAAAGCAAATTGCATACTAGGATAGGTGTCTGAAATTAGTAAACAGTAAAATGGAGATGGTATGAAAGAGCATATACTTGTGAGCTTAAGTGTTAATTTATAATAGCGCAGATTCATTTGATTTTTAAAGAATCTCTCTATAGCCTATGGAAAATATATCCCATATTAAACCCAGAATCTAAACAGTGGCTTGTTATAAACATTACAAATAGGTAGGAATATAGATACCAGGAGGTGTGTGTAAATATGTAATCTATACAGCTAAACTGAAAAATAAGAACTATTATCAGTATTAAAAAAAATAAACTGGAACCAACCCATGTTATGTAGAGATGTCACGGGCAGAAGATGGACTGTGCTTCCCAAAAATAAGACCTAACCAAAAAAGTAAGGGCTGGTTGTTACCATGGTGATGGCCAATGTTAAGCAGATTATACTTCACTGTTCTCTTGCTCTGTGGCTACACTGTAATGGCAAGGCAATTGGGGCTGGCATGTTTGATCTCTAGTTTTCAAGGCTGACCATGGCATTATTCTAGGTGATTACGCCAGAGAGGAAGTAGCAGGGCAACGGCTTACATTACTTGGGAATACAGGGTTGACAACATTTTGAAAAGTTAGACAACATAGGCACAAGATGTTGAAAACCATGAAAATGAATGGAATGAGGCTTTATTACAAAGTTATAGTACATTATCTAGTAATCTGTATAAGAACTCAACAAGTTTTTTGAACTTTACAGAAAAGAAGTTATAAAAGGCTACATAATAGAAGAAAAGAAAAAAATGGAAACTGCTACTAGACCTTTGACCACATTCCTGCCCTGAGGTCCACTCTGAAGGTAAAAGGACAATATTATGTAATAGTATTTTTTTAAAGATTAGTTATTACTAAAAAAGGAGTATATACACCTAATACAAATTCAAACAATACTAAAGTACAACCACTTAAAAACAAGTTTGTCAAATGACATTATATTTCCAAAATTTCCCTTTGCAGGAGCAACCACTGTCATGGGATTATTATATAACATTTCAGAAATAAGCCACATTACATATGGATATATTTGAATTAAGATGGCCACACTGTGTTTGCAAAGTAAAGGGAAGCGTATTATACAGTCTTGACTTTGCTTTTTTCATTTAATATTTCATAGAAATCATTCCCTTCCAGTTGATAGAGAGCTGCATCATTCTTTTTCATGGTAGTATATATAACATAACATTTGTATATACAATAATTTATTTGGACACTTTTTTATGAATGAACATTCATAAACAATGCTATGATAAATGTCTCTGTAAATACCCTTTTATAAATAATTCACATAAGTTAAAATCTTGGATGAAAGCATAGAGACATTAATAATTCTGACAGAAGTTATCAAAACTATCCTATCAAGGAACTGTGTTAGTTTATAGCATCCAAGCAAGGATTAGACTAACATTCTAAAAGGAATAGATTTAAAAGAACATATGGCAAAGTGGGAGCTGGAAGGAAAAAGAAAAAGGGAAGAAAGAGGAAGAGGGAAAAAAGAGAGTGCTAACTTACCTCCCAAAGTCACAGAGTTTTAATACAGCTGTATCAGGATCCAACAAGAGGTTCTGTGGTTTAATATCCCGATGGCAGATTCCAAAGGAATGGATATAGGCTAAACTTCTGAACAGCTGATACATATACAACTGGAATAAATAATAAACATTAATTGAATATTTCTTATTTCAAACAAATCAAAATCATGAAACAGCAAAAAAAGTAACATTCTAAGAACAAGTGAAATGTTGGTGATTATTACACTCAACCTTCCTTAAGTTTCTTGTTATTTTGTATGAATTAGCTGAGTAAACTATCATTAACCATTAGTATTACTTTAACAGCTTAAAAAATGAAACTTTATACTATGCTTTATAACTTATTTATTTTACATCTTACCTCAAGCCAGCTAAGATGGGTTTTTTGTTTAAAACATAGATAAAAGCTCAGAGAGGTGTCCCAAATCCTGACAAATAAGTAACAACACTGGGATCAGAAGTCAGGGGCTTAGGTACTAGCTCAGTGGAATCATGCTTACCACGCAAGCACAAGGTCCTGAGTTTGATACCCGGTACCAAAACAAAGCAAAAAACAAAAAATAGAAGTAGGTCTTCTGATTTTTAAGTTCACCATTCTTTCTACTATATCAAATTGTTTAATGTAAAAGAATTTCCACTCTCATCTTTAGAATAATTTTTTCCCTGAGATGTCAGCTTTCAAGGTTGCTGATACAAAGTCTAAGAAAATTGACAGGTGAACTGAGAAAATCTAATCACCTATCAAGATACCAGTAAACCTGTTAGTAGCATCCCAACTCTTTCTATTAATATCCTTCAGAAATGTCAACTTTAACTGCCATTTTAAAAGATGTCTCAGCTAGGTACAGTGATGCTTGTCTGTAATCACAGATATTTTGGAGGCTATGGCATGAGGACTACAAGTTTGAGGCCAGCCGGGGCAACTTAGCAAAAACCTATCTCAAAACAGAAAAGAAAGGAAAGTTAAAGAGTTTTTAAAAAGGGACTCAGTGGCAGCTAGCACTTGTCTAGCATGTGTGCAGCCCTTTGGTTCAATCTCCAGTACCAATGAAAATAAACAAGCAAACAAACAAAACAAAATAAGCCAACCAAACAAAACCAGATATATGCCTACTGACATGATCTCAGAAGACTTTTTTTCTATTTTATTACTAAAAAAGATACACTAAGCATATCTAAACCTTCTCTTTATTCCACAGCCAGTATTTTGATTCACTTTAAAAATTTTTTGACTATTCACTTTCTGACCTCCACCCCAAGATTAATACCACAAAAATAATTTTTGAAATAACTGAAAGCAAAGGTACTAGTGTTTTGGTAAAAATATAACAATAAAAAGAGTTAGAAACATAGATTTACAGCATCATCTTTAGGGGCTATTGTTAAAAGGTGGGTTAATTAAAGCCAACATGAAATCTACTTGCCTTCAGAGGCAAGATAAAAGATAAAAACTGCAGACAGCTGAATTTCAGTGTATCTTTAATGAAGCATGGCATAAAACATACATGTAAAATTTTCACTAAGGTCAGCATTTTGCCATTAAAGTTAGAATTAAAGCATTCATATTTTTAAAAGCTAATCCTGTTACTGTATCACTGTTCACAGACTCAATCCCCAAATCTTAAAGCACCAACCTTTTGATTTGTCTGGACCACACAGAGGGAAGAGGAACTGTCATGTTTAGTAACAACTAATGGTTGTCTTCACAGGCACAGACATGTTTAGGCAATGTGAGATATTATTACTGGTAATTGCTGCATTTTACTCACCAAATGGGAGAAGCACATGTTTACATCTGATAAACATGGGTTTCCACCTGAGTGACGGATGTGGAAGGCAGAGGTAGCACTCACTGTACTTTCCCCTATAGAGACTTCCATTGTTACCTATGCAGCCTATACTGCAGTACCACACACGAGTCACAAAAAAGATCTCTGAAAATCACACAAAGCTGCAAGTTTATGATCTTGTGTGGCCACATTATTGGCTGTCCCAGGCTATGGGTTGGAGCCTGTCCTAAACCTTACTCTACGATTTAATTCATTTTGCTAAGAAAATAAGCTCCTGTAAGTGACTGAGTTTACAGGTATTCATTTATTAAAGTAGAGATTTTACCAACTCTGCATAAGGGTATTAATATCTATGTCAGCAAAATTTAATGAAAGCAAAAGTTATCTTTTAAAATTGTTCAACGGTTTAGGTTAATTTTATTATCTTTTTAAAAACTGCATTCTTTCATATGAAAGACTTTCCCTTTTACCTTTTGCAAAGTCAAGATTTAGAATGAAATATGCAATTTATACCTTTTTGTGTTGTTTCATTTTGTTAAAGTATATTTCTAAGAAAGCTGAAATGCTTTCTATACAGAAAGACAGCAAGAACAATAACAACAAAAATAACTGACTGTGTGCCACACACCATTCAATGTGCTTTAGATGTTTCACTTAACTCTTATAATGACTTCATATGGTAAAGGCTACTTTTATTATTATTTTAAATATAAAGTAACTGAGGTAGGAACAGATTAGACAATTTGGTCAAAATCACATCTGTAATATTCTGGAGTGGCATAGGTAGTTACTCCTCTTTTAACTACAATTTCTTTGTTCTGCATTATTTTTATTATTTTTATTCTATTTATTATTTTTATTTCACACCATCATTTGATGGTATGAAAATAAAATCATAAAGTAGCCAGACAACTAAAGAATTAAAATGATATTCTCAGAAGCTCAAATGAAGGGAGGGGGTGTAGCTCAGTGGTAGTATGCTTGTTTAGCATACACAGAGCCCTGCATTTAATACCCATTACAAAAAACAATAAAGAAACAAACTCAACTCAAATATAATGAATGCATTTTAATATAATAACATATTTAACATGCATTAACTACCAAACCAAGTGAATATCTACCTATTTCTCATTTTATCGGTGAGGAAAGTAATGTTCAATAAGCATAGTTCAAAAAGTTATAAAGCTGTAAAATTAACTCAAGTCCAATGTCCTCTCTGTGCTATAACGTTTGTTTAAAGCAAATGATAGAATGACAACTTTATCATCTACAAAAATCAATCTAGCTCTCACGTATTCAAACTTTGTAGTTAAGAATTTTTCAATCTAAAAAAAGTCTAAGCCAGGTACAGAGCCACATGCCTGTAGTCCTACCTATGAGAGAGGGGAAATTGTAGGACCAATTGAGCCCAAGAAGTCAGGATCAGCCCAGGCAACACTGTAACACATTAGCTCTTAAAAACATAAAAATTTTAAGTTTGAAATAGTATCATCTTTGCTAGTCCTCTGTTTTACAGCGACATTTTAAAACCCACTTAGTTCTGAATGATTCTCATCAAAAAAGCAAGTGTTCAAAACATTTTTAACTTATACTTTATCATCAAATATAAAATGTATTGGTATAAAATGGGGTGATGAAAGAGGTTCCAAATATGGTCACAGAACATACTGAACTCCCCTACAAAAGTATAAGTCAAACGATCACAAAGAAATGCAGTTGTCATTTTAGTAGCATGTCAAACAACTCCTTACGAGATAGTGAAGTCCATAAACAGTTCTATGTATTTATTACTTTTATTTCCATCTCCCAGTCTAAAGTTTTTCATATACTATAATAGGATTGCAATAAAAATTATGTAGAATGGATTAAGAGATCAACTATAAACCCATCAATTATAGACACTGTTTTGATCTCTTCAGACCCTTAAGGGTAAGAGTAGATTTGTGCCCCCCCCAAATAATGACCAGAGCCAACAGTAGTGACTCTATGGTTACACAAAAGAATCATCCTTTTTCCCACAAGGAGAAATGCATGCTAGATCTCTCTGGGTATGCCAATCTCAGTATGTACAATAGTTTTCCTTTTTGTAAAAACACAGGATGAGTAAAAAAGAAACCACAGAGACAGAGAGAGAAAGAGACAGAGATAGAAACAGAGACAGAGATAAACACAGGATGCCAGAGATTTAGCTCAACTATATGCTCGTGAAAATACAAAAGACATGTGCACAAGGTTGTTCAGTATAGCACTATTTGTAATAGAGGTGTGGAGGAGTGGGACCTGAAAGGCAAAAAGAATACAAGTATTAATAAGTTACTGCTGAATAAATTAGGGTACAATCATATGGTGGGAGTAATATGCAACTATGAAAAAGGAAGACACATACATACACACAGAGTAACCTCAGAATATATTTTAATTAAAAGCAGAAGACAAGGGCTGGGGATTTAGCTCAGTGGTTTTGCCACCTGCTGTGCAAGCTCAAGGACCCAAGTTCAATCCCCGGTACAAAAAAAAAAAAAAGAAAAAAAGCAGAAGACAGAGAAAAATGTGTAATTTTTACAGAAAAAAAGAGTGTAGGGTGGATAAAACAGTTACACATTTGCTATTTTAAAAATGGGAGTATAAATTTTAAAAATCTAACTGGTGGAAGAAAGGAACAGAGATGAACACAGATGAAAGTTAAGCTTTCAAGAGATTTTGTTTTCTAGATTTTTACTTTGGAAGTACATAAATACATTAATGTAAAAGTAAATTTTAAATTTTAAAATATTTAAAAATAATCTAATAAAGGTAAAATGAAACAAAGCATAATGGGTTATAATCATACAGAAAGGAATTATCTGATGTTGCTTTAAAACAGAGAAATTTGACTATTCATCCCAAATTGGATCTAATGGAGGATAAAAAGAGTTGCAAAAAGATATTAAATTATTTTCAGGTGGAGGAGGTGGTGCTGGGATTATTACTCCAATGTATGGCAAGTGTTGGGTAGAATAAGTAATTATAGTGTGATCACTGAGAAACGGAATTTTCAGTGTAAATGAAAGGTAATATAGATGTAAGATTGTTAGGGTTAAGTAAAAAATCCCTCTATATTAATTGGACATATCAATATGAATTTACGGTACATTTTGGGGGGAAAACAGATACAGTAAACCCTTGAAAAAAAATACCCACATATTTCCTAGCTCTGTTCACTAACAAGATCCAGAAACAATACTCTGTAGCAATTAGTACTTCTAGCATTCAGACTCAGTCTCTTAATACCATTTCCCACTAAAAGAATGTCTCCTTCAAGAAAAGAGGAAGAAATGTGTAAAATGAACCTGTAACACTCAAGCAATATTAAGGTTCACGCAAGACACTTTAAATAAACAAGAAAACTCTTACTTGGTTACCTGTGGAAAATGCTATGGAACTAATTAATTACAAATTTTGGTAAACAAAAAGAAGGAATCAATTATCTTGTCTTTTTATACAAATTTTATCTTACGGAACAAATAATTAACAAAGGAAAGTTTCTCTTTGTGGCAGTAGTCTACCTTATAAGTTACAAAGGAATAACAGTGAAGTATCAACATCTTATATAACCCTTAATGAATTAATGAAATTAATAGTCGTCACCAGTGGCCATTAATGTCACAAAAAGAAAAGATACCATATTCTTCCTTAGGAAAGCACCCAACACTACCTATGAAGTAATTTTGACTCCATCAAACATGTACTTAATCACCAATTATCTATTCACCAATTTATAGGAAATACAAAGGAACATGTTAACACCAGTATGGAAATCCAATCAGTGAAATCCAGACCACAAAATGACAAGTCAAATGAGCCAGTTTCTCTAATGACAAGTATATGAAGGGGAGAGAATCTAAAGATTAAAAGAAACATTAAAAGCACACCAGCTAATCATAATTTACAAACCTTAACTGGATGCCAAGTCAAACAAAAAAGTATTTTAAAAAACTGTAAAACACGTGGAATATAAACAGATATTTAATGATGCTAATGCAATATTACTTATCTGTGTGATAACAGTGTTATATTTTTAAAAAGAAAGGCCCTATCTTTTATATATAAGCAAACTTAACTCCTAGTAAATTTCAGTGCTGTGGTTAATAAAATAATGTTTTTAAATGTCTACCACTTAAATGACAATTACACAACTCCTAGCTACTCCGTTACGAGTTCTATCAAATAAACAAGATGGTACTAATATATTAGATGATATAAATTAAATAATACCTGTATATGCTTAAAGCTGCCAAAGTTTAAACTTCTGCTACAGATGCAATGACTATATCTATAAATGTCAATAAAACACTACATTTTAGCATGTTTATAACTACATAATTTTATGTGAGTTTATGTGATATGTTCCCATTTTTGGTCTGTGGCACAATAAAGATACTGGAAATTAAATATAAGTATATACGGTTAGCAAAATTAAAATCCATAATTACCTGTGAAAAGTTTGCCTCAATTTACCTGAGTATCTTTAATAAGATTAATACTTCACATCTTAGCACTACAAAAGAATCTGAGAAAATTTTATACTTATTTTGTAGTTCTTTCTCTGAGTATTAAATGCAAATAATACAGTTAAAATATAACCAATATTCTCTCTGGCTCATGATATATATTTCTAAAATGGGAAACTGTTCCAATTTTACATACCTTGACATAGATCACAGGGAGCGTCTGTTTGGCTCGACTATAGTGTCTGGCAACTCTGTACACAGTTTCTGGAACATAGTCCAGCACCAGATTAAGGTAGACCTCATCTTTCTGAAAGAGTTTATTCAGAAACAGAAACATCAGAAACTAGTCTTTAAATATTCAAGTTAGAGTAAATTTTCTATGCATCTACTTATTCAGATTTTTAAAGAAAACATTTCATTTTAATTACGCAACAATTACTTTAGAAAATAACCATAACAGTAAAAACAAGCATACCATAGATACCTTACTAATACTAATTTCATGTTAAAAACACAATCATTTCAATACTGTTAAAGATTCACAATTATATTTTAACTATTATTTTGGTTACCATGATTTCAGAGTATATATCTCCTATCATAAACACATTTCCTAGGCTGAGAATCAATGTCTTTATATCCTACCAGAAAAGGTAGCACAGCAATAAGGGCAGTATTGGGAGCTGAGAAACAGATTTCTAGCCTCAGCTCTGTGGTCAATTGGTATATATAAGTCACTCTCTTTAGGCTTCATTTTCTTCAACTATAGTATGAAAAACTGGACTAGAAATTCTTCAAAATATCTCCTATCTCCACAAAAAAGATTTTATGGTTACCAATAGTCTATAGTTGGTAGAACAACCACATGTATTCTATAATTAACTGAAACAAAAAGAGTAACTTATAAGGCAGTGATTTACCATACTCACAAGCTTTTTGAGGGTAATATGTTTAAATATCCATTATGAGCAAGCCTAACACCACCAACCCAATCAGGAGAGAGAAAGAAAGGAAATCTAACCAAGTAGGAAAGAATAGAGTACTCCCTTTACCCTGTTCCTGTGAATCAGCATCAGTTAGGAAGGCTGAAGAAAAAAACAATCACTACTGGCTCCACAGTGGGAAAAATTGCAGTGAAACAAACTTTTATACTCTTGTAATTTGAAACCATCTTATCTAGCAAAGTGAAGTGGAGAGTTTCAATTTTCAGTAATTTACTGAGCATTTCAGATATCTCCCTCCATTCCAGAGGAAGCAGATTGCTGATGAGAGACATCTGAATTATTAAAGAAGCTTTATTTTATTTATTTATCTATCTATCTATTTATTTATTTATTTATTTATTTATTTTGGAGTCAGGGTCTCACTAGGCAGTAATCATCACTCCTTTACAAACTCCACATTAAAGCTATTCACAAAGAAATTTCTTTTTTGGTACCGGGGATTGAACTTGGGACCTGGCGCTTGCGAGGCAGGTGGCAGCACCACTGAGCTAAATCCACAGTCCACAAGGAAATTTAACTGACAAACTTTTGATCTCATCTAAAAACTCAACAACAGCAGGAATTACTTCATCCCATCTCTGGAAAAACAAAGTATGGTGATAATCTTATCCCCGCCTGACTTCTGAGGTCAAGGAAACAGAATGGCTTGAGGCTGCAGCTTTAAAGAGAACCATGATACCATTCTAAAAACCTCAAGGGATGCGAAGCAGTGTATTGGAACCATAATGAAATACTTAACACAGCATCAGGGAGGCAAAATCCTCCTCTGAATTGGGTCAGGAAATTTTAGCTGGCAAAACCCTTCAAAACAAATTTCTTTCCTTTGATGGGTATACTGGACTGGCAAGACAAAGGAATGATATAATAGTAAAGGTGTACAGAATAGGGAAGACCTTTTTGCTTAGGAAGTTGGAGGATGAATGGAAAAGGGAGGGAAGCACTGAAAATACAAGTAAGGCTGGCTTTATCCCTATGTCATATCCTAAAACAAAATAAACACCAAAATTGTCAAAATTTTCTTGTTAATGACATGACAAAACCACTGATATGTTTTTTTTAAAAAAAGTACAGACTTCCTGGAAGTCAGTAAGAAAACACCAATATTCTAATAGAAAAACTAGAAAGGACCATGATTAGATGGTCATACAAATGGCCAATAAAAATGAAGATGTTCAACCTTACTCATAATTAAAGAAATTTAACAAAAACCACACAACAGGGCAGGGCCGAAGATTTAGCTCAGTGGTTCCACCGCCTGCCTTGCAAGCAAAAGGACCTGAGCTCGATTCCCAGTACCACAAAAACAAACAAAAAACCATACAACAAGCTACAATTTTTCACCTAACAAACAGGACAAGAAAATTCAATTTGTGAAAACGGTATTAGAAAAGGTTATTTCCCAATATGCACCACAACATGGTTCTAGTGAAAGCCTTATAGGAAGGCAACAGGTTAACATACTCAAAAGTGAACACATACAGACCAATCAACACCACTACAATGAATTAAATCTATGAAATGATTGTGCATATATATGCAAAAGATGAGTGCAGATATGTGAAGAGCAAGGAATTAATAATCTACATATTATGTCTTATAGTGCTAGAAAATAGAAGACATGCTATAAACAAAATAAATCAAAAGCTTGCATTATTGGGAATATATTATAGAAATATAGGAGCTGTCTTAAGAGCTACCAATGAGCCTGGGGATTTAGCTCAGTGATTCCGCCACCTGCCTCACAAGCACAAGGTCCTGAGTTCGATCCCCCGTACCAAAAAAAAAGAGCTACAAATGGCTGAAGAGAAGAATTTGATCAATAAGATTAATACACAAGAGTCTACACACTGATATAAATAAATGACTAAACTGATGGATAGAGAACTCTCTCATGCAAAATTTTAAAAATCCAAAATAATTTATGTGGCTATACTACTATTAGGGAAAAGGAGTTATAGGTGCATAACTTCCCCTTTCTAGATGTGGCCTGCACACAGTGACTTCCTTCCAAAGAATGAAGGCTGAAAAGAGGGAGAGGGAAAGCAAAGACCTGTTCCTTTTCCCCATCACCATACTCCTTACTATCACATACTCCTTACTAAGGAGGCTCTATTCAGGCACTCTAGACAGGTAAAACCAAGATCACCATAGCTTCCAATCTAGGGTTGCATGGAACCCAAAGAAGGACAGGTGGTTGGTGGTCTTTCTTATCTAGTCTCCAGATGCAGATCTCTATTTGGGCATAACCAAGAGAATTTTGTTTCCCTTCCTCCACCCAGATGCCACAAGTAAGACGGAGGCTCTAACTCCAGACATAGCAGGCTAAGACCCTAATAGTCTCAACTCCAATTAGCTTAACGGGCAAAGCTCCCATGACAGCAGAACTGAGCTGTGAAGATAAGGGATCACCATTGCCACTTCTCTAGTGCCTACTTAAATAGTGAAGTTACTCTTCTAGTAAAGTAGAACAGGGTGCTGTCCAAAGGGAAAAGGTACCACAAGCTCTACCTAAGGACACTAATGTTATTTACAATAGAATGGGGAAAACTTCATACTTATAAACATTTTTTAAAACAATGAAGATCTTTTGAAGAATAATCGAGAGGAGGTTGGTAGGTCTATTATCATCCAAGCAAAAAGACAAGGCCACCAAAAGCTTTACAGAAAGAATCAGGAAAGATCCAAATGGAGGCTATTTGGGATCTCAGTCATCTCTGGAGATAGGAAGGATGTGTACACCTGTTGGCTGTGTCTACTCAGGGAATCTGAACAGGATGTGTTATGAACTTGAAAGGATTGCCCTACTTACACACAGACACATCAACACATTAAAGAAGCATTACTGGCACACAGTCTTTGATCAAACACTGACTGACCAATAAGCTCTTTCACTCAAGAGCTACAGGAAGCCAAGCTTAAAAGTAAAATCACAATCATAGTTACACTTGATGTTAGTTAGCCAAAGGCCAACAAGCGATATAATCATATATAGAAGACTGGGAAACCATGAATGCCCAAGGCTGTGCCTTTTTGGGAGCAATGAGAGAGAAAATCTTAAGCTACTACTTCTTGGTTGAAAATGTGACAAATAAATGTGAGCTCCCTGAATTATATGATAGCAATATCCAAGCCATACACATACCCAATGGTAAGAGTAAAAATTTAACTAAGGAAGCTTAAGAACCTCTGACACCCCCTTTTGTCTCTCTTAAACAAAAGCTATCTTTTTCTCAATATTTTTTTCCTACTCTTAAAAAAGGAAAAAAAAAGAACCTTTGACAAATGGTATAAAAAGAATAAAAAATCTCAAATCAACACCTTCAACTTAACAGGGCATGGTGGCACATGCCTATAATCCCAGCTAGGGAAACTTAAGAACCTTTAAAAAACGGCATAAAAAGAAGAAAATACTCAAATCAACAATCTTAACTGGACTTGGTGGCACATGCCTGTAATTCCAGCTACTTAGGGGCAGGGAGGAAGAGAAAGAGGAAGAGGAAAAAGAGGAGGGAAAAAAAGGAGCAAACCCACAGCAAGCAAAAGGAAATAGTGAAGACTGTAACAGAAATAGATGAAATAGAGAAGTAAAAAAGAGCAATTGGAAAACAAAAGTAAATGAAATCAAAAGTAAGCTCACTAAGGGCCGGGGATTTAGCTCAGTGGTTCAGCCAACTGCTTCGCAAGTGCGAGTTTGATCCCTGGTACCAAAAAAAGTAAACTCACTAAGGAAAAAAAATCAACAATATTGACAAATCTGTAGTCACACTGATCAGGAGCAAAGTAAGGTGAGAGGGAAAGGAAGAGAGAAGACTCCAATGATCAAAACCAAGAATAAAGCGGGGACTTAACTGATCTTATAGAAATTTTAAGGAAAAGTAAGAATTAATTGTATGCCAACAAATAAGATATCTTAGATGAAATGGACAAATTACTAAATGGACAAAAGAAGAAATAGAAAATTTAAATAAACCTATCATAAGCAAAAAAACTGAATTAGTAATTTAAAACTTCCCTCACAATGCACCTAGGTATGTATAGAAGGTTTCACTGGAAATCTATCTGGCAACATACAAACATGATTTTATATCACAACCAAATAAAATTAATCACAGAAATGGCAAGGTAGCTTTAACAGTCAAAATCCAGCTTATGTAGTCCTTCCTTCCAGTTATCACTTTCCATGGTTATGGTCAAAAGCAGCTGAAAATGTTACATGAAAAATAACTTCTAAACTGAGTATCATTCTCAATCCTAAACTGTGTATCATAGGATGAAATCTCACTCAGGATATGAATTATTTCTT